TCCGTCCGCACCACAGGAAAACCAATATTTACTTTCACACTTTCTAACTACTTTGGGAGCCCAGGATGAAACTGATTGCACATCAATGTTGTGATCAATTGACAGCTGTCAAAACAAGGTATCCGCTAACCAGTATCACCTGGCCGTATCGCGGGCACAGGTGTCGACCCATCGAGATCGAGTACTTTTTTGAAGTTATCCGCTGACAAGTTACTGGTTTTCAAATGATCGCAGGCTCAAGTTTATTTTTTTTAAAATTTATATAAAATATGTTGTGTTTATATGTCATTATGGCCCCGCACTATTAAGATTTTGATTTCAAACTGACCTCGGACGCGAAAATTCAACCAGTTTAAAAAAAAAAAAACATGTGGGGAAGACCTTTTCTTACCATGGTCACGCGTTGGTCACGCTTTACGTCCAATGTGTATGCTCTGATTGGTCAAAACTTGACAGGTGAGTTCATGCGGTAAATTTATGCAGCATCTTGAAAGTTGTTTACTTTGACAGCTGAAGCTGACAGAGTTTTGTGTCAACTTGTGATGTTTTTAACTGTCTTTTTCCACTGGATGTACAAAATGAAATACAGCTGCTATCAAGAGTCTTCTGTTATTCATGGAAAGTTTGTTTACTGGTTTTTTGGTTGAGAGATCCCTCGCTTGTCAAAGTCGGAAATCCGATTTTGGATGGCAGCGTTTTTGTTTTTCACCTTGCTTGATGCATAAAGAGGATTCAAAATTCTCAAGCGATTCTCGCGTTACTTGGTAGCTTTCAGGAGCTGCATCTCGAATGGTAAGCCTGAGCAATGATTGTACTTGATGTTTTTTTTTTTTATATATATCTAATTTCATGTAGTCGAGCACAGTTTATGCATCAACTTTATACACGTTTGTAGGATTTGAGACAATGATCTGACCTAGGTTTGATATAAACTTGCAGAACTTTAAAAAGCCTTTAGGTATATTTTCTCACCGCAAATAGAAAGAAAACGTTCCGAAGAATATTTAGTTATAAATTTGGCTGTAGAAAGAAAACTTTGAGCGATTTTCTTGCCTCGAGTTCATCTTTGAGAAAAGCAAACACCGGGAGGCCGGCTTAAAACATAAACTTTAAGACTCAGGATTTTTAGAAACGCTTTAATACTTGTCTTCGTGAATGAAAATTGTTGTCTCTGTAAATGTTTCCCCTAATTATATTTCTTTTAGTGATTGTTAGTAGTGTCTCTTGCAATTTTAATCGCTGTGCCGTTCGTTTTCAGTCGTTCATGAACATCGCTTGCAGGAGTTATCTCAAAATTGCGCGCGTATCAAACGTTTTTTAAGATTACACATCGTTATAAAACCCTTAAATAAAAAAATAGAAATAATAGATTATTTATTATGTTGAAGCGTAACTCTATTAATGTTCACTACAAATTTGGCGCTCATCAAAAGTGAGAATTGAACTGGCTGGCCGTATAGGTGATTTTGGAAATTTTTTGAACGGTTTCGCTAAAAGCCCACAATTGATCGTCCTGAATATTGACTGAGTGCAATATTTGTCTTGAAAAAATGTGAAATACTGCATTCTGTGCGAGGTCTGTATGATAAACAGTACTGTTTCACCTCAGATGTGATGTATAAAAAGTATAAAAGGTTGGTTTATACACCCCCGGATTTGTTAGCAAGATTTTGTGAAGTACATTAAACTTGTCGAAAGCAAAAACTTTGGCCTGATTTGTTTTCCAAGAATTTGTTTTCCAGGTCTAATCTACTGTGATCAAGAGCCATTATGGCTCTTGAATGTGATCGAAGATGATTGCTATTTTTTGGGTGTTTTATATGGCTGTCAACTCGATGTAAGATGTTTCACTCCAAAATCACGTAGCCTTTTCCTCAAAAGTCACATGAATTTGCCCTTAAGTTAACTAATTTGTGGATTTACAAGTTTATTGTTTGATTTAAATACTAAATTTATTAATGGGAGCTTCGCTTTTAGCCCTGGCTAAATCTATATATTATCTAACTCAATCGTAACTATAACAAAATTCCTAAATCTGATTGGTTATCAGTTGCCTTGGGGCCCGTTTCTTGAAAGTCCCGGTAACCGAAGGGCCCGTTAACTTATCGGGACACTGATACTGGGGTGTTGCTTTGCCAGGAAATATGAGGAATTTATAGGAAGCTTGAGATTTAACAGAATCTGTCCAGGCTCCAAATGTTGTAGTAATGGCTCCAGTGGCAGAGGTTCAAATGAACAAGGTTATCGTCGACGAGATTGTTGCCAACAGAGTTATTGCTATTTATTTTAATTATTAAAATACCAATTGTTAAAGGATTTCTTGTTACAGTCAACTCTCTTGCGGACACCTCGCTATTACGGACGCTCGCTATTATGAACAAATTGCAGATCCCCGGCAAAAGCTATAGGGGTTTGAATGAAAATGACTCCCGCTATTACGAACTCGCGCTATTGCGGAATTACGGACACTTTCTTGGTACCAAAGTGACAATTTTATTGTTTTGACTCTCGATAAAGCGGACACGCTGTACTACTCGTATAACATAGTTAGGTAAAATTTCAGTCTGCCGTTCATCATTTGCCAAAATACATTTCAAAAGGTTTCCGGAATGTTTAGTTTTACATCGATTCCTTAAATTGTTTGACCAGTCGTCCGCACTTCTTCACTTGAGCTTTTTTTCTTCCCGGCTCTTTAGGGCAGCTCAAGCCCTCGTGTTCCATTCTCAACGACTGCTTAGCAGTTTCGGTACGGTTGATAAGTTCGTCCAGTATTGCAAGATAATTTGGGTCGCCATATAGGTCATAAATAACTGGAATCCCCCGCAGAACGCCACCTCTGTTAATCCTTTTCCTGCAAATTATTGCCAGTCCTCTGTGGTTGTCCCTCTTAAAGCACTACACATGTCAAAATGCGCTATCAGACACTGTTTTTGATAAGAAATTGTTTAACATTACAGATCCGTTCACTCCGTCACGTTTTGTTGTTCAACGTGAAAATTATAGAACTGCATTGATTAATTGTGTTGTTATTCACATAACTAGCACAGTTAAACCTTACGAACGTAGTTAATGTTAGTTATAATATTAGTGTATGTAAACAGAATTTTTTTTCTCCCACCCGCTATTGCGGACATAAACCGCGGTCCCGAGGGTGTCCGCTATAACCGCGGGAGTTGACTGTCAGTACTTCCTGTTATCATACACTGGGAAAATCCCGCGCGGAATGTCCATACATATCTCTATTTCGAGGCGTGACAGTAATGTCCCGGATGTCTATCACGTGATTAACTGTATATTTATCGGTTCCTGCCCAAGAATTCTCGGACAGGAATCACGAAAAGAAACCTTCTATGTCATACTATTCATACTATGTGAACCTCGTTTGAAATACTTTTCAAAGACGCGTTTCCAGACGTGTGAGAAGATACAGTGGATTCCAGAGTCGACAATTCCTTTCCCCGGAAGAAATAGACGAAGATAAAAANGTTAGTTATAATATTAGTGTATGTAAACAGAATTTTTTTTCTCCCACCCGCTATTGCGGACATAAACCGCGGTCCCGAGGGTGTCCGCTATAACCGCGGGAGTTGACTGTCAGTACTTCCTGTTATCATACACTGGGAAAATCCCGCGCGGAATGTCCATACATATCTCTATTTCGAGGCGTGACAGTAATGTCCCGGATGTCTATCACGTGATTAACTGTATATTTATCGGTTCCTGCCCAAGAATTCTCGGACAGGAATCACGAAAAGAAACCTTCTATGTCATACTATTCATACTATGTGAACCTCGTTTGAAATACTTTTCAAAGACGCGTTTCCAGACGTGTGAGAAGATACAGTGGATTCCAGAGTCGACAATTCCTTTCCCCGGAAGAAATAGACGAAGATAAAAACTTAATTGGGTAGGTGATTGCTGATATTAAGAATAAATGAATTCACGATTTATCCTGATATTAGTTGTGCTATTGACGGAAAACCTACGGTTTTGCTTGCATCTTAAATTTTTCTGTGCCAAATACGACTACACTTGGTAATCCCGCACACCAAGGACCTCTCTAATACCCGTTTCTCGGTCGTTCATTAAATTCATAGCTAAAATGCTTCATTGGAAAAACGCTCATTTCGGTCTGAAATAAGGAAAAAAGCATGCCCATCCCAAATTTCTTGCTATACACTTGTGTGTGAATGTAATTTATTATATGGCTGGTTTCTCGAGCGAATAAGATAATAGAATCCTTAGTCAAGTGCTCTTATAGCTATATATATATCTGCACATTTTTCGCCCTGATTTCTAGTTTTTTCCATGCAAGAAATAAAATGTCTTGGCCTTAGAGTAAATCCTTTATTAACCAAGCTTTTTTATCGACCTCAGTTCATCGTCTTCTCTTTCCATAAGAACGCAAAAACGAACTTGCCCATGTAATATCAAGCCATCTTGACCTCACTCGTAGTTTATAACGCATATATTAATATAGATCATTTACAAGTATTGCGAAATATTTCTTGTCCGAGCATACTGCTGCACGCGTGGGGCTTTCTTGCTTTTAACGAGCTAACTTACCCCCAGAAAAGTTATCCACATTTATCTATCTTTAATTGTTATCGGTTATGGAGTAGCCTTGCCACAGACGTCCTTTGGGGTTCGTTCGTCACGCATTCATTAGGGAACTTAAGAACCACCACGACAACGTCTGTTGACTGGGAAAAGACTGGAACGAGAACGTCAGTTTCGGCGGGAAAAAGGAAACTTAAGATGCAATCGGTCAGTAGGTCGACGACGACGACACTGAATGTAAATATAAATGTAAAACTGTGATGTTCGCTCACAACAAAGTTTTTCGCGATGGCGTCTTTTTAAACAATGCAAGATCGTATTTTTTAAGCCGTACGTCTAATTTCATTGACGATGAAGAATTTTTTGTGTCGTCTGACATTTTTGAGTGGAAAAACACCTGCTTTCCGTACGAAGATTATTCAACTTTCAACCTGAATGAGATGACCGAGTCCGACTGGACCGAGTGTCTCACGCCAGAGTTTCGATTTGGAAAAAGAGACATTCTGATGTGAGAGCTGTTTTCCATATAAAGTTTATTTACTCTGTATTAAAGATATATGATTTGCCTTACCTAAATACGTACAAATAAATTTATAACTTACGAGTTCGCTCGCTCAGCCTCCACAGCTGTTGTCATTCTTCGAAGTCAAAGCAATTCATTAGTCGAATTTCAATCAACATCGCTTGTTGGGAGAAAAAAGGAAGGGTACCTGGATTTACGAGGATAAGCAAGTGAAAAGGACTTCAAAAATCGCTTAAAACAGTGGATTTATACCTGCCGAAGCTTGTGGATTGCAGGACGACGTGATTCTACTCTGTTTGGCGTCGTCGACGACACCACGACGACGGAATTTACTGGTCGCACTTGCGCAGTACACTGTAACTCACTTACGGTCGTCGTCGTGGTTCTTAAGTTCCCTATTTCTCCCCCACGGACGTCTGCTAAACACAGCCGACATTTACGTTCACCAATCACAGGCCGTTTACGGATTTTTGTAAAACGTAACCCGAGCCGCTTGTTCAGATTCGCACGATCAGTGAGGCTTTTGATCGGGTGTGCGAGAAATTTGTAATAAATACAGAGTTAAACAAGTATCAGAGACAAGCTATCCTGCAAATTTTATGAAGACCGATGAGTTCATAAATTTGCCGACGGGATTTGGTAAATCCCTTATCTATCAAGCTTTGCCGCTTGTTTGCGACACAGTGCGTGGAACTACTGGACATATTGTTGTTGTTGTTTCCTCCCTGGTAAATCTTATGAAAGATCAATTTACAAAGCTGGAAAATATTGGTATTCCTGCTGTAACGCTCAGTGATATTAGCGAAGAGAATATGAGGGTTGTCGAGAGAGGGGCTTTCTCTGTTGTTTACGGAAGCCCAGAAGCTTGGTTGAAGATCGATCGGTGGAGGAAATGTTAGCGAGTGACTTGTACAGTTAGTATGTGGTCCTTGGTCCGCGACTTTTCCGAGCATGATTAAATATTTCGTCGAGAAATAAAATACGGTGAACAATGAAAGGTTCAATGATTTATTGATTATAAGCATTCTTTCTTTCTTTGAAGGAGCGAGATTAAAGTTTGTTGACAGGTAGGTTAATTTGTAGTTCTAGCTTGAAGTTTGGACTTCGGCGGCACCGTGGTCATGTTTACTTAGCTTGTGAATAAATAAAACGCAACAGAAAGACGTGCCTTTTTGCAGAACAAGTTTTCAGATAAACCTTTTTCTGCCGTTGGAAGCACATTGCTGTAGACTTCGAATTTTTTGTTTTACCGACTCTTGAAAAAAATATATCCAAATTTCGCGTAGTGGTCCTTGGTCCGCGACCCATAACCTTGGTGGAGTTACATTTCGTAAAAAAAGGTAACGGCCTTTGTTTTTGAAGAATGCTTTGAAAATCTTCCCTATACACGTTTACAAGTTCTCTTTTCTTAATACTTCGAATAAGTGATTGTTTTCGACCGCGCTGAAAACCGCTCCGCTCTCGTGTGGGAGTTGTCTGAAGTCTTTCAAAGAAAAGAAGATTATTTTCTACCCACAACAACTTCCGAAAAAACTATACAACTGACTGCAGCTTTATTGCATCATTTCTGTAATTTTTTCAAAACGTTTGAGTCGTCTCAGGTAGGAAATAGCTGTGCAAATAAATAATTCACTTGAACAATACAAAGACACATCAAAGTCCAGAGCACGTTTGATGAGCCTTGCGATGTCGACTGCGCTTTTTCTAAACACACGAACTTGGTCCTTTTCTAAATTACAGCTGCAAGAAAACAAAAAAAATTCGCTCCTTATAACTTTCTTCGGAGGCTCATCCATGCATAGGTATGGAATAAATATTCCCCTAAAAGAGCGAGTAATAATTCGTAGGTGCCGTTTCACTTGTATCACAGCTCGTTATTGACTGATTGTGACACAATAACTAACCGCTTATTGGCTTATTCAAACAAACAAGAACGTAAATGTCGGCTGTGTTTAGCAGACGTCCGTGGGGGACAAATGAGTGCGTGACGAACGAACCCCAAAGGACGTCTGCGGGGAGGCTATTTATGTAGGTGTGACGAGGTCTTTTTCGAAGCTATTTCTGGGATAATTGTGCTCTCGGCTTGTAATTAAATACCCATCTCTTCTGACGTTTGAAGCCATTCTGCAATGAAGGGCTATTTAACAAAGTTTTACCAGTTAAACAGTGTTATGGTCTGCCCCCTGATGAGTTCATAACCCACCATAGGTCATTGCTTAAAAGTTAGAAAATACAGAACAGTTTAACTAGAAAGTCACCTTAGGGAGATTTTCTCACGATATAATAGGGGGCTACACATGAATAGGAGAAACCCAACCCAGCCCTATGCCATACCTGATTTGCCAGAGTAAGTTTGGGCTTTTCACGTCTTACGCCTCTTATTGTTCTGTAAAAAAGAGAATTAAAGTTCAGCTGTGGGCGTTCCTTTGTTTACGGCGTGGTGGAAACTGCCACGACTTAGCTGTCTTCATACCCTCATTTCAGTCATCAAACAACATTAAAATTGTTCCCCGGACTCGTGGCTACATCCCTGATATGCAGAACCCAGGCGTATTCATAAAACTTTGAAATAACATTTTACAGCAAACGCCTTACTCAAATGTTGCTGGTCGACGCAGTCACCTTTGCAACGGATCATTAAAATATTAAACTGATAAAGGAGGTTGGAAAAAGGGTTTGTTTTGACTTTGCTTTTGAAAAGTGTAAAAAACGGCGAGATGAAGTTAAGTAAGCGATGTGCTCAACTCACTCATACCTAGACCTGCACTGGCAGGCTTGCTTCTAGACTGTTCACAGTCCCCTATTTTTTCGTGAGATCGTTGAGATATAGCGCGTCTTACCGTTAATGACGGCCATCTTGATTTTCAAATGTACCGAGGGGGCGGGCGTCGGGGATTATAGCTCTTCCTCCCAAACCGCCCCCTGCCCCCTAAGTAGTTTTGACACTCACGCAAGATGGCAGCCCGAAAAGCAAAGCGCTCGATCTCGACGATCTTACGGAAAAATAGAGGACTGTGAACAGTCTAGCTTCCTTCTCTTCCATGCTGTCTGCACTGATTAATAGAAGAAGAAGAAAAAAAATAAGCAAGTACTGTATCTTTTGATATGTGTTTAATCTGCTGGCTAACCGCTTATTTCATATTCTCGCCTTCTTGGTTTACTGACGCAATGCCTTGTTTACTCTTCCTCTGACACCCAAGTAAGCAATGATTCTTAACAGCTGTGTATGTAGACGGAAAGATCATGGTCCGGAATGCAATAGGAAATAATTTTCGTGCGAACTGAAATTTCCCTTTTCCAAATTAGACTTTTCTAATTGTCCTTCCCTGATAAGTACAGCTCGCTTTTCGCAGGATTTTTCTTCCTTTTTTTCCTAGACGCCTCAAATGCTGTTCGGCTTCTGTTTCTTGGTCACTCTTTGGAAAAACAGAGGGTGGGCCCAACAAAAAAAACCTCGAAGGTAGTACTGACGGCAGAAAAATCTTCATCTAAAGACTTTTTTTAAACAAATCAATGGTAAATCTAAGATGGCAGGCAGACGTCTTAGGTCCCAACAGCTTCGTTTCCCATAATAACAAAACATTATGTTTAGTTTATCACGTGATTTCTACTAAAGTTTTATTTTTTCCAAATAAAAAAAGGTAAAACAGCATAAAGAAGAAATGGCTTCCTTATGAGGGACGTCCCAGGAACAGCGCCGATGGTTAGTGGTGGGCATTGCCCTTCATCATGTCCTTACTCCTAGACTCAGAGATAAGATCAAAGCCGAAATGCCTCCATTCTACAAGCATTTGGTGCGAAGCTTTGGGCTGGACAAACAAACGTACTCGAAAGTCATAAAGAACATTCCACCTTCCACGGTAAACTTAACCTATGAGATTATCAATAACAACCACACTAACACGCACCGTAGTCTCTACGACTACTGTGTAAAGGATGAAGTGTCTTTAGCCAAGCTGTTTATGAAACCTTTCATGGCGCAGTTCAGCACATTTGATTGTTTTTTCGACTCTTCAGCAGCTTTTGCAGTTCTCTGTGGAGCCTTACCGATTGCTGAGGATGTAAGGTCAAAAGTTCGAAATGAATGGGCACACTGCGAATTCACAGCATGGACTGAGGCACACTACGAAACTTGCTTTGATCTCATGGAGAACCTGGTCAAGAACCTGGGATTCGTGAACTCCGAGGAGGATCTTAAGTTGTGGAAAAATCATGGTACGTTTTGTTACCGTATACTTTACGCCTTAATGATACTTATACTTTTGTGAGAAATGAGTACCTAATAGAATTAAAACGCACAATAAGTAAAACAAAGGCCAGGCCATTCTGACACTTATTTTCCCCTAACAGAGAAGGGAAATCATCTAAGAAAGTAAACGATTTCTCCGTTTTTTTTTTAATTTAATGCTTTATTAACAACACAGGAAGTACAAAATATTTTCATATCTGAATTGACAAGAAAAAGGTTACATAATTAATACATTGTTGACATAATTACATTAAGTAAACTAGTTATCTAATGCTCATTGTGAAACCTATTCTCATCGTAGACGCGGAAAAAAAAAAGAAACAAAACACAGCAGAGGCATTTCTCTTGTTTTCTATGCGATACCGCATAGAATGCAAATCATAAAAAAACAAGAGATGTTTCCTAGTTAATTGATGCCCGCACAGGGTGGCTACGTATTTTTGTCTTGTTTGTTAGGAAGCTAGTTTCGCTGTTTGTTAAAAGTTCCCAGTCCCCGCCGCGTAGCACCGTATGCAGCGAAGTAAAATGGCGGCCGAAATTTTATCACAGAACTTTTTGAGCGCTAACAAAGTGAAAGTCTATGATTCTTTCTGGACACGCAAAAGGAAATGGCGGTAAACCTGTTATAGAGTTTCTTAGTACTCTTGAATCTGCGACCTCTTGGTTAGATATTTGACGGTGTTGTGTATGAGCACAGCATGGAAAACCAAATTTCGTTGAGCTTAATGACAGTGTAAAGTCAACGTAAAGTTTGAATTTACACAACTTTACGCCTCTTTTACTCAACGTAAAGTTCAGCTTTACTACACCTTTACGCGTCCATGTAAAACTGGCGAAATGAAACAACATTTACGCAAACCTTTAAGTTTAGCGTAAAGCATGTGTAAAGTCCAGATTTAACCGACCTTTAAGCTTATGTAAAGTTACAATAAAAAGATAAAGGTGATGGGTACATTTTTCTTACCAAACTTTTAACAATCGAGATTTCTTTTGATTTGAATTTTCCACACAGTCATTGTTTTTTTTTTGTTTTGTACTTAATACTGTGATTTTTGCTTCCATCATCTCGGCATAGTATTTATAATCTGAAGCTATGAATTGAGGATTACTCCGACACAATTACATTACCCTGATATGTAACAACACTTTAACACACAGTTAAAGGATTGGCAAGACAGTACTTTTATTCTTCAAGACTGAAAACAAAACGAAAAGTCATAAAGCATTGAAATCTCACTGGAGACCTAGATGTGTAGGAGTATAAGATCCTAACTTTAAATTAAGAGCAGTCATTCCTATATATATTAAAGATCAAGTAATAACTTGCTTTTGATGGAATTATATGTATATTTGTTTTACCAATAGTTAAACTTTAAATATCCCAACAGTAACGAATTGATACTTCACAAACCCTTGATGACCAAAAATTACACTTCCTATAAATAAATTTAGATTTTCGGGGAAAAACTTGAATCTCAAGAAAGCTTTTAAGTAATTATTTGTGGCAAGCTTTGCAGAAGCGTTGTACAAGGCAACGAAGTCGGAACGGAATCTTTTTTTTTCATGAGTGTAGATTTTTTAATTCACTCAGAACAGTACGCGAACTCATGAAGTATGGCAGTTTTGATTAGAGATGTGTAACATATAAAAGCTTGTTTTCTTTTTGGGGACAAAGAAAAGTTTTAAGCCGCGAAATTTGTCTTCGAGGACTTCGATCTTGTTTCCTTCACGGCGGAGCGCTTGTCCTTTTCTGAACTGCAACCAAGTCAGTAAAGTTGTTAAAGAATTTCCAGGTACATTTCACGCATTATGCTCAAGGAAAGTATGTAAGTTATATAAGCTCAACTCATGCATTTCATTTCTTCTTACACGCATCACTTCTGCGAAGATGCCAGCGAATTTTCGGGTTCAGCAGCTGGTGAATTTTATTTCAAAATATGGTTTACTAGTTATACTAGATAGATATTAAGTGATTTTTTAAAGGTTATTGGCGCTAATGGTCATCCAAAGACCGTTTTTTGAAGTTACAACTTCAAGAAATCGCTTCTCTTACTGTGCATGTCATGAGTAGTCGACTTTGTCTTGTCAATCCTTAGCCGATTTGTTCGAAGGCCGGTTAGCGCTAACCCAGGGTTAAATTTTTACCCGGGTCTCTTTTTCTTTTCATCAAAAGCATTTTCTCTAAAAATTTTCTCTATTCTTTTTAGAGTAGCTAATCGTCAAATTATAGACAAAAGAATTAAACTGAATTTGCTTTTGAAGCTTTCATATCTGAATTCAAATTTCGTACTAACCCTGGGCCTATCTTAACCCGGCTTTGAAAAACCCGGCCCTGGTCATTTGGGGAATAATAATCCGTTTTTCGTCAAATATTACCTTGTAAGACAGTAATTGCTTTTTGCAGCGCATCATTTAAGCTTACATCGCGATACAAGTTTTCCTAAGCACTCGCGCGACAATCTCGCTTATCAGTAATTCCATATTAGCAAGTAAATTTTGATTGGTTCCCTGAAAAACTCCAGCATTGTGACAGAGTTATTCGCTTCGGGGTTATATGCTCTGTTAGCGCTAACCAGCGTTCGAACAACTGGGACAGGGGTTAAATTCAAACCGGGCAAAGGCTACAACTGTAGACTAAAAGTAGGCACGTTTTACGTGCATAAGCTATTTTGAATGCTTCAGTGTAACAGTATCGGCAATCTACTGCCTTAATCCTAAATTAAGGCTATGTTTTGTGCGAAATTGGTTATTGCTGTACATTAATGAAAACAAGAACCGCAGCGCATAGCTGATTCGATCTGATAAATTCACTTTTCCGTTGTCTTTCCTTCAGACATCTGGTGCAAAAAATAAACAAATTGTTAAATTACTATGAATATCAACTCACCAAACGTTGGTTAGAGGGAAGACTGGAAGGTTTCAAGGTTTCTTAAAATAATGAAGGTCGTCGAATACCGAATAGCTAAGATTTTCATCATTGTTGTTCAAGTTCAAGTTCGTTTAGTCACACTTATTCAATTACAATACAACAACAATAAGGAAAAAAAGAAGAAGTAAAAACAGAGCTAACTATACATGGAATTAAACATAACAAAGGAAAAGAGTGACTGTAGCAGCCAAAGGAGCCAAGCTTTCGAGTTGGCTACTACCACAGAGCGGTTACAAGTGGGTGGAAGTTATGCTGTACTTATAAAAAACTATTTAAATTAAATAATTAAATAGATAGAGCTAAATAACAGATTAGAGTTGTTCAAGATGCCTGACTGTCAAGTAGAAAGAGTTTATATTCTTTTTCAAAACTGTTCGAGGGGAGACACTTAATTTTCATAGGTGTTGCTTCCCAGGTCTGTGATGCCACTACACTAAACCTTGCTAGGCCATAATTAGTTCTGGAAAACGGTCTGCAGAGGTTTTGATTAGTGGCGTACCTAGTATTATAATTATGGACAGCTGAAGCCGGTTGAACTAAGTCATAGAGGGCAGGAGGTGGATCCAATTTTGACATTGAATTTTATGCACAAGAGCGCCAATTTTTAATTTAAAGATAAAAATATTCTCTAACTTTAAGATTTCTAGTAGTGTAAAGTACGGTGTGGGACTTTCTCTTTTGTTTGCAAAGAAGATGCAGCGAATACTTTTATTCTTAAGATGTGAAAGAATAGCTGCATGCATAATGTTTATATTCCCCGATTTTTTGTAAGTCCTTGCTTAAGAAATGCGTACGGTACATTTTCTGTTTCCTTTTTACCCATCTTAGGATACCCTTACTGAGCCATGGCTTATTAAGTTTCCTTTGCTTAATTTGGCTAGCCAGCTTGATAGGCGCATGTTTTTCTACAATTTTATTCAGGGTATTGATTGTCTCCTGTGCCTTTTCATTTAGATTCTTTTCTGGGTTGAGGATTTCGTGCCAATCAATCAGTTTTATATCATCTAAGTATAGATCTTTATTAAATTTAGAGTAGTCTCGAAAACATTTTTTGTTACTATTATTCCGTGTAGGCTGGGTTCTGACTAAGCAGAAAATCGAAACATGATCTGTTTTATCAACTGTCAGGATTCCTGCTGTCTGTAAAATTTTGTAAACAATTTGTATATATATGGTCAATGAGTGTTGCTATGTGATCAGTAAGCCTCGTAGGTTTAGTAATGATCGGCAAGATGTTATTGGCATAAAGCTTATCTAAAAACTCTTCAGTTTTAGTATGTTCATTGAATTTCAGGAAATTTATATTCATATCTCCAAAGATGTAAATTTTGTGTCTATTGGGATTAATTGTTTTTGATTATATCATTTGTATGTGTAATCAAATGGTGACGAGTGAAGTTAGGGAATAATTTCACGCGCGTTTTGTCCAAATCCTAATAATTTCCCGAGCCTTCATAAAATGGTAAACAACTACTTACGTTTTCCTGGTAATCAGCCATTTTTGCCTCCGTAATAATATAAGTTTATAGAAGTCATTAAACTGATACCTAATTAATTGAGCTCGTCAAGAAAGTTTTCGAATTCTTCTTGGGTTACGAAACATTTTGTAGTGGAGCTCTCCGTTTTCGTCAGCATTATTTTACCGTTAGCTGTCTAAATAAACTTGTAGTTGTGGTCGCGCTTGAATTGTAAGATTCTGCCCAGTAGTCGTTTTCTGTATGGCGTTAAGCTTTCATTGACATGAATTTGTGCTTTATGACTTACAACCGCAGATTCCTGCTCGCAGACCACAAACGGGAGATCTTTAGCCCGCTTAGATTTTAAATTTTTCCTCTTGCTCTAAATTTCGTCTCTTCTCTCTTTTCGACTA